TTTTTATTCCATCAATTCCTGGTGCCTTGTTCTTTGCCAATTCCTTCAATGCACCTTGGACTTCCTCCTTCAGTATCACTGGCTCTTGATCATATGCTACCTCTTGAAATGACTGAACATCAACCATTTCCTTTTGGTCCAGTGACTATGTGTATTCCTTCCATCTTCTTTTGATGCTTTCTGCATCATTCAATAATTTGCCCAGAGAATCCTTCAATACCCTAGTCATTTCATCTCATCTCTCATTTGAAGTAAATTCCAGATAACTTTCATTTCATATATAAATATTCAACTTGCACCTCTCAAAAATAAAATATTTTATATATAATTGCAATTTAAAGCATCTTTAAAAATCACAACATCTGGGGCTCCTAATCCCTCTGACATCTCATCTATCAGAACCTCTATGTTGAGGCATGTATTCTTAAAGTATTCTTCAGACATTTCTGATTCAGTCAGACTATTACATATTCAGTGACTGACATCTAAGAGTGATTCTAGAAGGCTCAAAATTTCAGGTACATAAGAACCGTATTAGGCAAAGACAATAATGAAAATACCATGTAGAAGAAAAATAGCTTCTAAATGAGAAAACAAAAGTAATTTTAGAATTTAGCAAGTAAAAAGAACTAGAATGAAATATTGAATCAAAGAATTCTTACTTGGATACAGAAAGGGGCTGATTGAATTCTTCTCCCACAGTGTTGCTCTCTTCAAAACTGGGAATGTCAACAGCTTTTAATGAAGATGCACTACCTGGAGGACTTGTGACGTCATTATTAATATCAACAGAAAAATTCATGTCCTCACTGGAAATTTTCGTATCATCTTGTTTATGCTGAGACTCAGGCTCTTGATCATTACCTGCTGCATTCCAAAACAAGCTAGCACCTGGTAGGGTTAAACGATTGAACAGATTTTGAAATAAGCATTCAACTACTAAAAATCATTTTCAGACCAACTTTTTGACTAGCTATATTAGTTTAATGCCATTACCTGAAACTGTTAACGGATTATATTTCCTCAGAAATGCCACCAAAAGGAAGATAAAGGGTGGAAAGCAAGCAAACTGGGAAGCTAAGGGAAAACAGTCCTTCAGGGCTCTGCTCCATCAGCTCAGCCTTTTCAAGAGGAGTCCAAGATACAGTTTGGGATCGGGGAGCAGGTGTTGAAAATTGCTCTGAATACCAGAAGAAAATACAATCTCCTGGCTCTCTAATTTGATCCCTAAGTATAATATTTATGAGACTATATTCAGGGTATACCAGACTTGTGAAATATAGGCAGGTATTTAACACATCTGGTGGTTTTGATAAAAACAAAGGGTTAACAACACTGAATTTATGAATTCTCTGACTTTACATTATTTATCAAATGTTTTCCAAATTGTATAGACCACTTTCATAATATTTGCAGAGCTATATGTACATGTATAATTCTTTACTATTTTTCTTTAAATCAATTCACCCAATTTTTACTTAGAGTTGCCATCAAAGCAATGTTGCTTTGTTGTTAGGTGCCATCAAGTCAGTAACTGACTTATAGAGACCCTATGGACAACACTTAAGGAGCTCTGGTAGCGTAGTGGTTACAAATTGGGCTGCAAACCGCAAGGTCAGCAGTTAAAAACTACCAGCTGTTCTGCAGGAGAAAGTTGAAGCTTTCTGCTCCCGTAAAGATTTCCAGCCTCGGAAACCCTGTACAGGTTTGCTATGAGTCAGTACCGACTCCACAGCACATAACAACAACAGGAACAACACTTATAGAGACCCTATAAACAACACTGCCAAGTCCATCAAAGAAATTAATTCTGGGAAATCATAGATTGATGTGCTGACAATAAATATATCTAACAACATATAAAATATTGATTTGTATACCACATAAAATGATCTATTTACCATGAGTGATATAAATATCACAATTTAGAAAAACATTGTTTATAGTGATTTAAAGAAATGCTTAAAACCAAAAAGCGAATTCAAGTATCTGAGGTCTACTTGATTGGTTATATGAAAATAATTATTTAAACATTTGAAAGTATGCATACAGTAAACTTTTTTTTTTTTTCATTTAAGCAAACAAAAACAGGGACAATTTTTTAAAAAACCTTCCTAAGTATTGATATTCTTCCTAACTATGTATCAATACATACCTTCAGAAAATTCCATTTTCTAAAGACATTTACTTCAACTATTAATAATCTATTTTCTGTATATTAAATAACTGAATATGAATCTGTGAAGTTTAAACTCATGTTTCAAACACATGAATGACTTCATTCGGTGATCAATTATTCCATACCTATCTGTACCAGGCATTACGTTGGTAACACTGAGATGCACTGGTGAATAAGTCAGTGTTCCACAGCTTGAAAAACAAAGCGTAGCCTTGTGGCAGATACAGATGACAAGCAACTATAATATAGTAAAAACAGAAATTTTACAAGGACACAGGAGGAAGCAGATATTTCTTAGCATATTGTTCTAAGCACTGAATTCTGGTGGTTCAGGGGTTAAGTGCTCGGGTGCTAACAAAATGCTTGGCAGTTTGAACCCACCAGTTGTTCCCTGGGAGAAAGATGTGGCAGTCTGCTTCTATAAAGATTTACAGCCTTGGTAATTCGACAGGATCACTCTGAGTCAGAACCAACTCACCAGCAATGGGTATGATTTTGGTGATGTCCTAGGCACCTGGCTAGATTTTCTTGAAGATCTCATTGTCTAGTAGTAAGCAAACATACAAACAAATACATGTCTTTTACATTAACTGAATATTTTTATAAAAGGCCTTTAATGTTATTCTCCAAATGAAGTAGATATTCCTTTGTGGAAAATGTTAATAAAGGCTCTTCATTACATAGTTGCTATTGTTAAGTGCTAGCGAGTTGGTTCCGAATCAAAGCAACCCTGTATAGGGTTTATAAGTCTGTATATCTTTACAAGAACAAAGAACCTCATCTTTCTCCTGCTGGTGGGTGCAAACAACCAATCTTGTGGCTCACAGACCAATGCTTATCATATAGTACCATCACCTTACCTTCTTATTACATAATAAGTGTGAGCTTATGTTTCAATGCCCTGCCTGAATTCCATTCCAGAATCTGAAGCTTATTAGCTGTGTAACCTTATCCAAACAACTTGACCTTTCTATGCCTCAGTTCCCTCATTTATGAAAGTCTAACAACTGTACCTATTTCTAAAGACTGTTCCACGGATTAAATAAATCATATACTAAGCACTAGACTGTCTGTTCCCGTAAAGATTTACAGTCTCAGAAACCCTCTACAGGGTCGCTATGAGTTGGAACCAACTCCACGGCACACCACCATTACCACCATCACACTAAGCGCTTAGAATAGTGCAAGGCACATAGTAAATGCTTAACAAATACTAGGTGTTCTTTGCTGTTGTTAAGTTCCATTGAGTCAGTTTCGACTCACAGCGACCCTGTATAGGGTTTCTGAGGTGCAGGTGGTGAGCTTGAACCACTGACCTTGCAGTTCAAACCAACCTGCGGTCCAGTCCTGTGTATTAACCCACAGCGTAGCACTATCATCATTTTCCTCTTTAAATGTTGCATGTTCCTGTAAAGTGGACAACTCACAGAACCTTGGTTTTCTTCAGAGCCTGTATGTTTTTTTTCTACCCAATCTATTCTTCCATTCTTCAATTCCACCTACAGAAACTCTACATATACTTTAAGTCCAGGTACACATGAAATCTTCCCTAATTCCTCAAATCACAGAAGAGTTTTCAGTAGAGTTGAGTTATGATTGGGAACAGCAACAAAAATAACCAATATATCATGTTATATGATTTCATGTCTGTTTTCAAGTATAGTTTTATTTCATGCACAAAATAATTCCCCAGACTTTAACAACTTATGCTCTGATCACCTTGGTTTGGGTTCTATTTTACACTGTATATCAATTTTAAAGTTAAGGAAATTACCTGTGCTCACAGCAATGCTTACACCTTTTCTCATTTGTAAGTCAGGAGTAGACTGTGCTTCCAGGGAAACCAACTCCATTTGTCTTGCACTGTCTTCACCAGTAGTTTTCTTAGGAGAACAAGGCTGCAGAGGCTGTGCTTCCAATAAACGCTGAATCTGTATCAAGTAAAAACATACTTTCAATGACCAGTGAAGTAATCAACAAAATTGGTAGCACAATTTAATTATTAATTACAATGGTTTCCAATTATAAATAACTGAGTTTTAACTACATTTTTCTCACATTTCAACTCAAATATACCATGAAGCTTAGTCAATGTAGAACAGAGCTATTATTAATCACTAAGAAGCACTTTGTGGTTGTTATAAATTTAAAAGTGAAAGCATAAAATTAAACACTCATAAATTGGCACTCATGTAGAAAGTCTTAACAGTTAACATTTCAAACCAATACTTCATCGATATTTTACTTACAGATCAAAAACAAGATTGAAAATGTTATTGACTTCATGAACCAAATATGGAACATTTCACACAAGATTCATTTCATAAAGGCTAATCAGAATTGCCCATGTTTTCTGTTGTTAGGTGCTGTCAAGTTGGTTAGCAGTTCAGTGCTGATCCTACAGCACCACACCAGGGCTCCTGCTTTAGGAACACTGAAACTGGTAATAATATTCATGTCTAGAGCTAATGCTTGGAAAATGCTTTCTGGTTGTGAGACACTATGTTAAGAATTTTAATGTATTCTTTTCATACAACTTCAGGAAGAAGGTACTACTATTAAATGCATTTTACACAATGAAGAAAACTTGGTTAACTATGTAGGTCACATAACAAATAGCGAACTGAAATGCAAACATAGAAATCTGTCCCTCTTTTTTAAGTTGAGATATAGAATTCACATATCATAAAAACTCCTAATATTCCCAAAGCTGTATAATCATCACCATTATCTAACTCCAAAATATTTTTCATCATTTCTCCATAAAAACTCATGTTGTTGTTGCTGTTAAGTGTCAACAAGTCAGTTTCAACTAGCGGCCCTGTATAGTATTTCTAAGGAGCAAACGGTGGGTTTGAACTGCTGACCTTGTGGTTCGTAGTCCACTGCTTGTCCTATAGCTCCACACCAGAAACGCATCAATACCTATTGTTGTTGTGTTGTTAAGTGCATTTGAGTCAGTTCCAACTCACAGTAGCCCTGTACAGGTTTTCTGAGGAGCGGCTGTTAAATTTGAACCCATGACCTTGCAGTTCAAACTGACCTTGTAGTCCAATACATTATCCCACAGCACCACACTAGGACTCCCATACCCACTAGCAATGTGCTATTACTCCTTCTCCTAACCCCTGGCAACCATTAATCTATTTTCTATGTCTATTTTGAAGGAGCTCTGATAACACAATGGTAAGGCTGGTGGTTCTCCATAGGAGAAAGCTGTGACAGTTAGTTTTCAGTAAAACTTACAGCCTTGGCAACCCTATGGGATAGTTCTACTGTCCTATAGTCCCAGAAAGTCAGAACTGACTTGATGGCACATAACATGCATACCATATGCCCAATGTTGGAGAAGATGTGGAAAATGGCTTTATGGTATAGTATTAAATTGGTGTAATATTTCTGGTGGTCATTTTCATTCATTCAAGTAACAAAATATGCATTAAGTAACTATTACATGTCAAATTCTATTCTAGATGTTAAGAATACAGTGCAGAATGTAAGCTCCCTCCTATAACTTACTTTCTATTGCAGACAAAAACCAAAACAAACATGCAATTAAGGTATAAATGGTAAGAAGCTACTAGAACTAGAAAAATGTTTCAAGAAAAGTAAACTGCAAGCATAAAAACCTAATGTCGAAACATTTTCTGGCATGTTTAAAGAACAAAAAGTTTATCAGTGTGTAGCTGTAGTAAAGTGAACATAGAAAAAAGGAAGTCAGAAGCCAGATCACAAAGTGCTTTAAGGGCCAGAATTTTATTTTATTCTAACTGGAAAAGGAAATTGGCAAGGTTTTAAACAGGAACATTATGATCTTACTTAACCTTTACAAAGACAATTGTGCTTCCCATTATAAAAAGCATAAGGAGAGAGTACAGGAAGCAGCATGTATGGGTAGGAAAAGATGACAGACTGAATTAGTGTGGTGGAGAAAGAGACAACGGAGTGGGTAGGTTCAGAATTCATCCAGTAAGTAAGAGTCTAGGGCTTTGGCCTGACTGACTTTATGAGATGTGGTAGCATTAACTAAGAATAATGATAATGGATATTTACTGAGTCCTGGTGTGATGCTGTAGGATCTGCACTGGACTGCTAATAGTAAGGTAGGTAGTTCAAACCCACCAGCTGCTCCTTGGGGGAGAAGACGAGACTTTCTGCCTTGGAAACCCTATATAGGGTCACTATGTTAACATTAAGAACAACGTTCTAGGCTCACATGTAGTGGGTTTGAACCGCTGACCTTGCGGTCCAGTGCATTATCCTGCAGCGCCACAGCAGGACTCCATATGTATATAACATACATATATACCTTTGGAGTCCTGGTGTGGAGCTGTAGGGTAAGTACTGGACTGCTAATCATAAGGTTGGCCATTCAAATCCAACAACCACTCCTCAGAAAACCTGTACAGGGTCTCTATGAATTGGAAATGGCTTGACAGCACTGAGTAACAACATATATATCCTTCCTTACTCTGAATATGAGAAAACTCGTTAGGAGAGGAACATTTCAGCATCTCTCAACATTTATAACGTATGTGACCTTTGACTTCGTATTTCTAGGAACCAGTGCAACAGACACTTGCACATATGCAGGTAGATGCAAATACAAAGACAGCCACTGTTGCAATGTTTGTAATAGAGAAACTTCAATAATAAATTGGAAACTAACTTTTAAAACTTGTGTATATCATTGCAATGAACTGCAAAAAACCCCATACAAGGTCGCTGTAGGTCGGAACCCATTCAACGACACTTAACAACAACAAAAACATGTACCTATAAAGAAATATGTCTTTCTTACAAAGGCAAGTAAAAGTTGTTATAAAATGCCACTGAGTTGGTTCTGACTCATGTTGTTAAATGCTGTGGAGTCAGTTCTAACTCATAATGACCCTGTTTAGGGTTTCCAAGGAGTGGCTGGTGAGTTTGAACTGTCAACCTTATGGTTCAAACCAAGCTTGCAGTCCAGTGCTTTATCCCACAGAGCCACACCAGGTTCCAACTCATAGTGAGGTGGTAAATCTTTGTGGGACCAAATAATCTTATCTCTTGTGGAGCAGCTGGTGGACTCGAAACCACCAACCTTGTGGTTTATAGTCCAGTGCTTGCCCTACACCAAGCCATGATGCTCTGTATTACTTGCAAAGGCAAGTAACAAAACAGTATATTTGTTTGTGCTTTTTCTTTTTAAGTGTTATATGGGTGGCAGTGATAATAAGCACATTTGCATATTGAGAATACAACAGAAATTGCGGAGTATTTATCTCTGGAGAGGGAAGAGTTTCTTTTACTTATATTCCACACTACTAGAATTTTTAAGAATAAAATAGCACCTTAAAAAATATTCATGTCAGAAAAATACTATGCATGTTTGCCACAGAAGCATTTTGTACAATATATAGTTTTATTTTCATAGTATGTTGTTGTTATGTGCCATGGAGTTGGTTCCAACTCATAGCGACCCTGTACAGGGTTTCCAAGGCTGTAAATCTTTATGGGAGCAGAAAGCCTCATCTTTCTTCCGCAGAAGAGATGGTAGTTTCGAACCGCTGATCTTGTGGTTTGCAGCCCGATTAGTAAGCACTACGCTATATAGTGATTCAGAAATTTAGCTAGAGCCAATGGTCTATAATACTACATTGTAAATACACAAACACCAAGTAACTAAGATTTCTAACTAGCTTGAACAATCTTTTTAGCATCTAACAGTCTTTTTTTGAACATGGAGAATAAAACAATTATTTTTAATACAGAAAAAATTAGCTGCAGTAAAATGCCAGATAAGTGATTACAATGATTTAGGATTCAATTTACACATTGTAATTTCAAAGAATTTAGCTAGACTTAAAATACAGCGAAGTTAAATATGTCTGTTATTCATAGCTAAAGTGTTTTTAAGCAGAATTTGAAAACCATCATAGCCTTTTTATCTAACAAGTGCAAAGAGTATAATTTTAATTTTATAAAACAATGTTTTAAAAATGACAAATATGTATATCTGCATAGTTATGGGATTGTTGTTGTTAAGTGCCATCAAGTTGGTTTCAACTCATAGTGATCCTGTATATGGTTTCCAAGGAGTGGCTTGTGAATTTGAACCACTGACCATGAGGTTCAAACTGATCTTGTGGTCCAGTGCATTATCTAACAGCACAAGTGCAAAGAATATAATTCTAATTTTATAAAATAATGTTTTCAAAACAACAAATATGTATACATGTACATCTGCATAGTTATGGGGAAGTAATATGACAGCAAATGTTCCACATTGCTCAAGTCAGTACTGGGCTAAGGGAAAAGAGTTAATGGGGTATGTGTGTAAATAGAGGAAGGGTATCAGTAAGGAAATTAAAAGAAGAAAAAAAAATATATAACAATGCTTAAAGACTGAAATTCTGTAGAAGGACTTAAGTAAAAACCAAATAAACAACAAAAAACAACTCGACTCTGCAGTAAGACCCTAAAGAAAACATCCCAGAACAAAATGAGTGGAAAAAGTTTAGCAGATGATGCACAGAGGTTCTAGAACTATTCCTTTTTACATTAGTGAAGACTTTGTGTGTGTATATGTATAAACAGGATCAACAAACCAGAGTTATACCAAAACCTACTCTTTATAGCCTTGATATTTAGTTGTATAAAAGATATAGTAAATTACACAGATTTTTTTAATTAGGGGGAAAAAATCAAAGAAAACTGTAGTGATGATGTTTGTTGGTTAGTTATGATTAGCATAACATAGAAAGAAGGCTTGTTTTTTAGTCTTGGCTTTATTACTAAGTAGTCATGTGTTATGTGTCATTGAGTTGGTTCTGATCCATAGTGATCCTGTATAGAGTTTCCGGGGAGTGGCTGGTGGGCTTGAACCGCCAACCTTGTAGCTCAAACCGACCTTGTGGTCCAGTGCTTATCCTACAGTGCCACACCAGGACTCCAAGTAGTCAAGTAGCAAAGGGTAAATCATTCTGTCTCTCTGATACTTTTACTCACCTATAAAACAAAAGAAACTAGAATTAGGTTCTAGGACCCTTCTAGTTCTGACTTTCTACAATTCTAATCTACAATGTGTAATTACTGGAGTGCCAGTTATTTTCAAGAAGTCATGTTATGTAGTCCGCAAAGACCATGTTCTTTCTACATCCTACTTTGATAGTACCAAATGAGATCTTAAAAGCTCATGAGTGGCTTTATAAGGTACAACCAGTGGTCCTTCCTCATCTGGAGTAAAGTAGAGTGAAGTGAATAAAAGATTTGTAGAAACAATCAAAGATCTAATAGACTATGTGAATATCAGTCTCCATGACCCTGAGACCAGAACTAGATAGTGCCCAGCTACCACTAACAACCACTCTTAAGGGGGTCACATTAGAAGGTCCTAGATAGAGTGAGAGAAAAATGAAGAGCAAAAAGACCATGGTTACTGGTCAGACAGAGACTGGTGGAACCCTCAAGATAATGACTCTTAATCATCCTTCAGGGCTGGAAATGAACACACTTCATAGTTCAATTTTCAGTCAAACAGGAAGGTCTATAAAAGGAACATCAGGACTAGGGAGGTAAGCACACTTTAGAATAATCACTCACTGAAATCAAAATGATAACATTTACTCAAGGAGAGTTGAGAAGAGTTAGAAAAGCAGAAGTGTACATAGGAAATACAAGGAGGAAGTTGGATAAGTGATGTTACATTGTGGAGACTGCAATCAATGACATGAAACTAATGTGAATGAATTATTAAACAGAAAACTGATTTTCTCTGCAAACCTTCACCAAATTCACGAAAAAAAAGTTAAAAAACAAAACGAAACAATGTTACATGAATTTAGCAACATAAATAAGAAACCTCTAAGCAAACCTGTGCCTGAAGTAGCCTCAGCTGTCTGTTTTGTTCAGTGACGAATCGATAAGCATCTGGAGACAGTCCCATCATTCCATTATCAGATCCAGTCTTGGGAGTGTGCATGCACACTGCACAAGGTGGTGGGTTACATGAGTCGACATGTGCAGGCAATCTTGCCACAGGCGATGGTTCTGCACTGTTGTGGGGAGAATTACCCAGACTTCCCTGAGGTTTCACAGCAAGAGGACTACTTGAAGAATAGTATGTATTATGGTACATAGCTGGACATCCATTTGGATGAAACAAGGAGTGCTTTTGAAGGGCTTCACATTGGAGATCCTGAACAGATCCTATTGTGTTCACTCCTTGCCAAGAATGTACCGGACTATACTGAACATGGCTATGATACTGACAACAACGGCAAACATTTGTGGAATAATAAGATGGTGGTGGGGGAGTTGGTATCTGATGCTCTACTGGCCTTCCTGAATTATGGGATGAAAACACAACGTTGTGTGGGTGAGACTGTGGAACAAAAGAAGACTGGCTAGAATTAAATGCACAGGATCTTGTAGGATACTCTTCTCTTTGTGCATTTTCATCAGAAACTGCTTGAAGCTTTTCAGATATATCAGGAGATAGCTCACTAAGAGTTGATTTAACACTGCTCCTGATGTGAGCATTCCCTTTCTTACAGGTAGTTGGTTGTCTAACTTTGCATTGTCTCAAAGGAGCAGTGGCTTGGTCTAATTTATTTGGTAGCTCTCTCACAGAAGACTTTCCAGCTTCAGCATCTGGACTGTGTTTCTCATCATAAAGCTGGGGTTGCCCTGGCTCCATGTGCTCAGAATTCCTAATCAACAAAGGAGGACTTTCATGATTCATCATTTCCGATGGATTACAGAGAGGGCCTGATTCTATGAAATAGCCATCCAACACGAATGAAAGTTCAGGAACTGATGGTTGGATCTTAGACACCTAAAAATGGGAAAGAAAAAGGAAAAATAAATTTAGGAGAGAAATACACCTCACTTTCTTTAAGCCATTATTCCCCAAATTATATCCAACTATTTACTTTTAAATGTTCGTTTTCATCTTTATTTAGACCGTCAACAAATATTTTGGGGCCTTTCTGCTTTCTAGCCACTAGGATTACAATTGTGAACAAGTAAGAAAATAAATAAGGTCACTGGCTTCAAAGAACGTAAGAGAGCAATTCTCAAAAGTTATTTAATGTTGGGACTCCTTTTATTGGAATACCAATTTTATTAGAACTACTCATATCACAAAACAAAATATAGAAAACTGTATATTTTTTAATGTTGTTGTTGAGTTGGTTTGTTTTGTTTGATGTTGGGTAGGTTCCAACTCATAGTGACTGTATGCACAACAGAACGAAACACTGTGCCATCCTCAAAATTACTGTTACTTGAGCCCATTGCTTCTCAATCCCACTGTGCTAATCCATTTCACTGATCCTCCATTTTAACAACCATAATGTCCTTTTCCAGAAATTAGTCCTTCCTGATAATATGACAAAAGTATGAGAGATGAAGTCTGGCCATCCTGGCTTCTAAGGAGCATTCTGTCTATATGTCTTCCAACACAGATTTGTTTGTTCTTTTGGCAGTCCATGACACTTTCATCAGAATTCTTCTCCAACACCATTATTCAAATGCATTCATTCTTCCACAGTCTTCCTTACACAGCGTGCAATTTTCGTATGCATATGAGGCAACTAAAAATACCATAGCTTGAGAGTCAGGTGTTCCGTAGTTCTCAGACTAACTTCTTTGCTCCTGAACAATTCAAAGAGGTTTTGCACAGCAAATTTTCATAACTCAATATGTTGTTTGATTTCTTGACTGCTGCTTCCATGAGTGTTGATAGTGGATCCCAGCAAAATGAAGTCTTTGACAGCCTCAATCTTTTCTCCATTTTTCATGATGTTGTTTTGTTGGCCCAAGGGTGAGGATTTTAGTTTTCTTTACATTGAGGAACAACCTATATGGAATGCTGTAGTCTTTGATCTTCATCAGTAAGGATTTTAAGTCCTCTTTGCTTTCAGCAAGCAAGGTTGTATCATCTGCCTATCACAGGTTGTTAATGAGTCTTCCCCTTCAATCTTGATATCATGTACTTCATGTAATCCAGTTTCTCAGATTATCTGCAGAGGCCAATGGGTTAGAGGGCTGAGGGGTCAAGAGCTAAAAGAGCTTTGTAAAACTTGCCCAAACAGTCCACCAGGCCTGGGCATGCCTTATGAATATGGCTAATAAGAGGCTGTCTTGACCAAAGAACTGTATCCTGATGATTCCTAATCCTGAACTGCAACCAGTTACTTCCCTAATAAACCTCATCATCAAATATACTCTGTTAGTTGTATATAGTTATTGCAAGGAATTATCGAACCCAGCAGAGTAGTACAGAATGTCGTGGGAAGGTTGGCTGGTGTCACAATTGATAACGAAGGTTGCTGTCTGGTGACATGTTTTGATTTCTACCTCATGGAAATTATCCTTGGATTTTGATTCTCCTTCCTGCTTGTTAAGTCTGAGGAGATCAGACATTGCCCCCGGGTCACTTTTACAATGTAATAAAAAAATAATGTCAAGCTCTAATAACAATATATAATGGTAAATCTGTAAAACCACCAGATTCTGAAACTTAATCTCCCGAATTAGAATCTTAGCTCAACTACTTACTAGCTGTGCGATCCTGGGCAAGTAACAACCTCTTTTAAGAAAGTTTTCTTTAGAAATGATTAGTTATATGTACTTCTTAGACTCATAAAAAGTGTATGTATATATCTTAGAACGAGGCTTAGTAACACAGTGGTTACGTACTTAGCTGCTAACTCAAAGGCTGGCACTTTGAACTCTGAGATGCTCCTCAGGAGAGAGATGCAGCAGTATGCTTCCATAAAGACTACAACTTTGGACACCCTATAGGACAATTCCATTCTGCCCTATAGGATTGCTCTGAGTCAGAATCAAGTCGCCGACACATAGCAACATCTTAGAACAATTAGGCTCCCAACCACAAAGGTAAGTTCATTATTATTATTATTATAAGACCAGTGGTACCTTCTGACTCACTGGGTGCGGACTAGGAATTGGTCTTGGAGAAAAATCTTCATCTTCAACACCTGAGTCATGATCATTTACTGGCATTTTCCCTGTGGACAACTTCTGAGAAGACCTAGAAGAGGGGAAACAAGAAAAACCTTTGGCCACCCAATATATTTGTTTCTATTTGAATAAAGTCCTCTAACAAGCCATGGTAGTGTTTGGATAATTCAATTCCATATCTGACACCACAAATTATTTTTCAGGCCAATTTTATCAGAAAAGCTGGCCAGCCAGTCTCATGCTTAATAAATCACCCCCTTTTGCCTGATCATAGTGAGTTTAATCCAGAATTACTACTATTTTTTAAGCTTTTATTAATAGTTTACATGTAAGAACATCGGTTTTGTTCTATCATATTTCATTTTATTGCAATGATTACAAACCCTTCCAACCATCATCATTCAACAGTATTTGCTTCTATTCCCTCTGGTTCTTTTTTTGTGATGTACACAAAAACACTTAGGAATATGTAATCATTTAAACAACCCAAGGGCATATTCTGCAAGCCTGCCTCCTGGCCGCCAGTACATAGCTTTTCTCTTTCCATGAGTCTAGAGTCCTCAGCTGCTCTATCTCTCCATGCCATCACTTCTGCTCCATTCTCTGGTGTCGCTGCTTCTCTGATTAGGGTCCCACATTCTGCTCGTGCTCTTCTACATCGATGATCCTAGGCTCCTCTGTTCCTCAATTGTAAGATTAACTACTCCCCCCCTTTCATGTTACAAATCTTCTACCTTTACAGCTGTGACAATCGCAATTGTTAGTGATAACAATTATTCACTACTGAATCTTAAGAATCTTGTCCCCAAAGAGCAAAAGCAGAATGTGTGATCCTATCCAGTGAAGTAGCGACAACAGAGATGGAGGCAGAGATGAGGACATGGAGAGAGGGAGCAGCTGAGGACTCTAGACGCATGGAAAGAGAGAGACTGGAGGCAGGCTTGCAGAATGCACCCTTGGGTTGTTTAAATTATTATATATTCCTAAGTGTGTTTGTGTACATCTCCCCACCCAACCCCCACAAAAAACCAGAGGAAATGGAAGCAAATACTGTTGAATGATGATGCACAGAGGAGATTGTAGCAATTGCAATGAAACGATGGTGTAAAGCCGACATTCTCCCATGTAAACTATTATTCAGTTCATACACACAAATTTTTTTTTTTAATTTAAAAAGACAAAAAAAACTCTTGTCCCCCATCGCCTTTCACCAGTCCTGTCTAAGTAAGATGAAAACTATCAGTGGAGATTCTACCTTCCCCTGCACACTCTGAAACTAAACTCCCACTTGAAACCTTGTAAACCAGTCACTTAGTGCCTTCATTACCCCCACATTTTAGGTAGCCAATGTCTAAGTTGCCCATCCCTATCAACCCTGTATACAGAGGGGATAGGTTGGATCTTTGATGTGAAGACTCCTTCCCACTCAGTTGGTATCTTGACCTACTACATCCATAAGTATAGGTCAAGTTCATCAAATTGTAGCAATTTACACTTGTTTTCTTTATCAAATTTCTTTATATTCCTCTAGTCGAGTTCTGATCATCAAGCCATAGAAGCTAGGTCAAATGGCTACTATCCGTAAGTTTGAGTGTTCTTGTGCATCTCCCCTCACTTCATATCACCTGGATGCTTCACTCTCAGCTCTAGCCTTCTATGGCTTGGTCTAACTCAGTATTCTTACTGTCACAATAAATTAATTACTGAGCATCTTCTGGCTAACCACTTTGAGGAATTAGAAATCTGTAAGACACTACTCAACTTCACAGAATGTGTAACCTGCTGTTAGAGACATATACAGAAGAAAATGAAATACGTACTCTACAGTTTCCTATGTACTTACACCTATATGAGAACATACTCTGAAACATTAACTAAGGGATCTTTTACCATTCAATCACTCATCATTGTATCACAAGTGGCATGACCCAACAGAATATAGAAAAACGGTATCAGCACTGAGTTTTGAAAGTTGAAGTTAGAGTTTAAAACTAAATATTTGGAAGGTTATGTGTATCAGCTTATTGTTTTTTGTTAAGTGCTGTCAAGTCAGTTTTGAGTCATAGTAAACCTGTATAGGGTTTCCAAGGAGGTGCTGGGGAGTTTGAACATTTGACCATGAGGTTAGCAGTCCAGTGTTTATCCTGCAGTGCCACATCAGAACCTTCCATTTAGTATTCATGTATTTGATGTTGATTCTCAAATCTCTCTGTCCAGCTAGCACACAATACTACTGAGATCTAACCTCAGATATCACCCAGTTATGTTTCATAGAAAACACATATATACACACACAGAATCAACTTTCTAAAACTAATTCTCAAATTATTTCTACCACTGAATGATACCACTTCAAAGTTTAGCACAGAAGGTCCTTTCATGTGATCTGGTTGTTCCCTATATACTATTAGTAGTCTAATTAGCACTTAGTAAACTGTAGGATAAGCACTGGGCTGATAACCACAGGCTGTAGGTTCAAAGCCACCAGGTGCTCCTTAGAAACTTTATACTGGGTCGCTATGAGTCAAAACAACAACAAAGTATATTTGAGATAGAAGAGAGGCTCTGTAGGATAACACTCCACAGTGAACCACAAGGTTGGCGATTAGAACCTACCAGCCGATGCTAAGGAAAAAAAGATGAGGCTTTCTGTTACCCCAAAGATTTATAGCTTTGAAAAGTCTATAAAGGGTTGCTATGAGTCAGAACCGAATCGATGTCACTTAACAACAACAAACTGTATCTGAATAGCTCATTTACTCATATGTCTTTCCATTATTAGACTGCATGTGTTTTTAGCAACACCATCCATCAGTTTGTCACACTGTGGTAGCTTATGTGTTGCTGTGATTCTGGAAGCTTTGCCACTGGTCTATTAAATACCAGTAGGGTCACCCACGGTGGCCAGGTTTCAGTGGAGCTTACAGGCTAAGAAAGATTAGAAAGAAGGAAAGGCAGACCACTTCTGAATGTTAAGCCACTAAAACCCTTATGAACAGGAACAGAACACTGTCGAATATAATACCAGGAGATGAAAACATAATGAATAGCAACAAAATATTGTCAGATAATAGTGCCATCAAATTGGAAGGCACAGAAAATATGACTGGGGAAAAGTTGCCTCCTCAAAGTAGAGTTAACCATGATGAAGTGAACGGAGTAAAGTTTTGGACCTTGATTTGCCTATGGAGCACAATTCAAAATGAGTAGAAACAGCTGTAAACATTCACTAATAATCGGGACGTAAAATACACAAGTATGAAACTAGGAAAATTAGATGTTCCAAGTAAAAAATGAAATGGAACGCATAAAGATGGATATCCTAGACATTAGTGAGCTAAAATGGACTGATATTGGTCACTATGAATCTAACAATCATATGGTTTACTATGTCAGAAATGATAAAATTGAAGAGGAATGGCATCACATTCATCATGATGAAACAAAGAGGAAAAATCATTTGTTGGAAAATATGGCCTTGGTGATAGAAATGATTCTGGGGATCCCATGACAGACTTTTACAAGATCAATAACTTATTCATTGCAAATACCTTTTCTAAACAACATAAAAGGCAATTCTACACCTCAATATCAGCACAGGTAATAAACAGAAATCAAACTGATTATATCTGTGGGAAGAGATAGTGGAAAAGCTCAATATCATCAGTCAAAACAAGGCCAAGGGCAGACTATGGGATAGTTTATCAATTGCTTATATGTCAGTTCAGGCTGAAACTGAAGAAGATTAACACAACTCCATGATAGCCAAAATACGAATTTGAATATATCCCACCTGTACTAAGAGACTATCTCAAATACAGATTTGATACATGAGACACAAATGGCGAATGACAAGAAGGGATGACATCAAAGATCATCATACAAGAAGAAAGCAAAAGATCATTTAAAAGACAGGAAAGAAAGAAAAGACCAAAATGGATGTCAGAAGAGACTCTGAAACTTGCTCTTGAGTGTAAGGAAGCTAAAGTGACTGGAAGAAATGAGGAAGTTACAGAGCTGAACAGAAATTGTCAAAGGAAAACAAAGTAAAGCATTATAATGAAATGTGCAACGACCTGAGATTAGAAAACCAAAAGGTCAGAACACACTCAACATTTCTCAAACTGAAAGAAATGAAAAAATTCTTGCAATACTGAAGGATTCTATGGGCAAAATATTGAATGATGTAGAAAGCATCAAAAACAGATGGAAGGAATACACAGTCACTGTACCAACGAGAAATGGTCAATGCTCAACCATTTCAAGAGGTAGCATATGATCAAGAACCAACTACGCTGCACTAAAGGAATTAGCAAAATAACAAGGATGCAGAAATTGATGGACTACAAACTGAAATCTTTCAATAAACTGATGTGGCACTGGAGGCACTCACTAGTCTATGCTAAGTAATTTGTAAGACAGTTACCTGGCCAAGTGGTTGTAAGAGAACCATATTTGTGCCCATTCCAAAGAGGGGTTACCCAATGGAATGTGGAAATCATCAAAAAATATTACTAACAAATATAAGTAAAATTTTGCTGAAGAGAATTCAAAAATGGTTGTAAAGGATACAGCAACAGAAAATTGCCAAAAATTCAAGCCAGACTCAGAAGAGGACACAGAACTAGGGATATAATTTCTGACATCAGATAGCTCTAGGCTGAAAGCAGAGAACACCAGAAAGATGTTTACTTGTGCTTTATTGACTGTGCAAAGGTTCTGAATATGTGGATCATGACAAGCCAGGGAAACACTGCAAGGGATGGACATTCCAAAACACTGAACTGTGCTCATAAGGAACCTCTACATGATCCAAGAGGCAGTCACATGAACAGAACAAAGGGATACTAACTGGTTTAATACCAGGGTTGTATTCTTTTATCATACTTATTTTAATTTGAAAGGTTAGCAAATAATCTGAGAAGCTGGATTATATGAAGAACGAGTTAAAAGAAGATTCAAAAAACCTCTGATATGCAGATGATACAACCTTGTTTGCTGAAAGCCAAGAGGGCTTAAAATACTTACTGGTGAAGATTAGAGATTACAGCCTTCAGTATGGATTACACC